AGTGAGAAGTGACGGCAGCTGTGGGGGGCAGTGAGGGAGACCCAGGTCAGAAGTGGAGCCCAGAGCCCGGACTGACCGCTGCATCGCACCACGGAATGGAGGAGGTGCTGCTCACGGAGGAGCCAAGGGGTTTCCCGAGATGCAACCAACTCCAGCGGAGACACTGCGAAGACTGTCAGGACGACCACGAAGGCCTTAGGCTGCTCCTTCAACTGTTGATCAAACAGTGTTAGGGCCTCAGGATCGATTCAAACTTTGAAAAACAGGTCAACTGGTGAGGCAAACTTCACTGTCGTCTTAAGAAATTGCCACGGAGTCAGCTGCCAGCCCACCGAGGTGAGACCCTCCCCCTGAGGTGAGACCCTCCCCCCGAGGTGAGACCCTGCCCCCCAAGACCACGGCTCCCTGAAGCCTCCGACGAGGGTTAGCATTTTTGGAAAGAAAGTGATGTCGTTAGGGCATGCACATTCCTTTAGACCAGCGGTTCTCAACCTGTGGGTCACGACCCCTTTGGCGGTCGAACGACCCTTTCACAGGGGTCGCCTAAGACCATCCTGCATATCAGATATTTACATTACAATTCATCACAGTCACAACATGACAGTTATGAAGTAGCAACGAAAATAATTGTATGATTGGGGGTCACCACAACATGAGGAACTGTATTTAAAGGGCCAGAAGGTGGAGAACCGCTGCCTCAGACATCATGCTATTCGCACTCAGGAGCCCAGGGCAGCTGTGTTTCCAGGGGCGGTCACTGCTGTCCAAGCAGAGCTGGTCAGACAGGGTAAATGCCCCTCACCCAGGCTCCCGCTGCCGCGCTGGCTGCTGTGTTGTGGTGCCTGCAACCAAACCCACAGGATCTCCGAGGCCCCAGTTCCCCTTTCATTACCAAGTCACATCCATTTTAGGGACACACCGCCCTTTATCCCAGTTAGTTTATCATGAGAAGAATAAAGACTAGGAAGACTCTCATCCCCTACCAACGCCCCCGCCGCGTCTCTACCACCCCTTCCGCCTACGACAGTGGTCGGCAAACTCATTAGTCAGCAGAGCCAAGTATCAACAGGACAATGACTGAAATTTCTTTTGGGAGCCAAGTTTTTTAAACTTAAACTATATAGGTAGGTACATTGTTATTAACTTAATTAGGGTACTCCTAAGGCTTAGGAAGAGCCACACTCAAGGGGCCAAAGAGCCGCACGTGGCTCGTGAGCTGCGATTTGCCGACCACAGGCCTAGGAGCACGCATGTGCTCTAAAGGGTGAGCCCTCTACTCAAACCCGAGTCCCAACCCTCTCACCCAAGTGAGCCATCCACCCGGCAAGTGTTTCTCTCTTGCAGCAGAAATTCCCTCCACTGGGTTTCCAATCACAGAGACGGTCAGTTCACCCACCTCCCAGATGTAAGAACAGAAACTCCCTCGCCCGCTTCTCCCTTCAGCAACCGCCCTCTCACTGTCCCATACACAGGCCTCAGGTGCCCAGACCCGCCCGTCTCTCCATCTCGGCTCCCCGGCCTCTCTCTATAATGGGGCTCTGGGGCCAGCGCGCCAGGGAAACCCCTTAAGGTCGCCCAGACTCCTCCCGCTCAACGCCGCTGTCACGTCCCCCTTTGGCCCGACAGCTGAGCTCTCCCTCTGACCCGGGGGCTCTCTGCTTGGCCCCTGCCCCTGCCGAGCCCGTGTCCTCCCGGGACACCACACGGCGGGTGTGGGAGCACCACCTCCGCCCCAGCTCTGCCTCGGAGCGGTGACGTGGACAGGCCCCTCGCCCTGCGTGCCTGGGTTTCCCGTCTATAGAGTGGGACCGCGGGGCTACCCCACACGGTAAGGCTTTCATGACCGAGGGACACAGCTCCTTGCGCGGCCCCGGCAGGTACGGACCCATTAGTGCTCAGTGGCTCCAACTGCGCACAGCGCTGGCCTCCCTCCCCTGCCCGCTACCTGCCCCGCAGGCGGCCGTGCAGCCAGGGCTGTGCTGACCACACTGGATTACAGGGGTTCCCTCACCACGTGCCCGAGCACCAGTCAGACCACCCGGCACTGGAACCTGCTACCCTCAGACACCCACTGCTCCCCCATTCCTGCCCCTCCCGGAGTGGCACCGACATCCTACCAGCTCCCCAGCCAGGAACTCTGGTGCCTCCTCTCTCTCGCACCTGTGTTTAAGTTATGAGCAATTCTACAGCCCCATCTTCAAAATAAATTCAGACCCAACACCCACCGCCTCACTGCACCCCCGTGAGTCTCCACCTCATCGACTACAGCTTCACACTCGTCTCCTCTACGCGCTTTCCACCTCGCTGGCCCGTGTTCCATGTAACAGCCACGGGAACCCTTAAATGCCGAAGGGATGATAACCCTGTTCAAACCCCGGCTTCCCCTCACACCCGCAGCCAGGTCCTCGGCCCCTTCTCTAAACTC